CTGCTGAAATGTGAAGAGGAAATGGGTGATTAACTGACAATACATACCAGATCTCAACATTTTATACATGGTTTTCAGTGTCCAGGTGCATGTTCAAGGGTGCTCTCAGCAGTAAGGAAAGGAAGGAGCATCAGTTTGGTGTTTGTGCCACAGGAGAGATGACATATCAATGGGTGGGCTTCATCAAAGAATGTTAAGTCAACATGGAGTTCTCACTTGACTGCCCAGCATGGAACAAGGGACACACAGAGACTGAATGTTTTTATTAGACTTTGTGTATTGCAAAGAGTATGAAGTGTATGAAGTTTAACAAAGGCAAATGCCAGATTTTGTGCCTGAGATGGGGCAACCCTACATGTGCATACAGACTGGGGAATGAGATGCTGGAAAGCAGTGCCGCAGAAAGCCACCTGGGGGTCCTCATCAATGGCAGGTTGACTATGAGTCAGCAGTGTGCCCTGGCAGCCAGGAGGGCCAACCACGTCCTGGGGTGCATCAGGCACAGCATTGCCAGCCAGTTGAGGGAGGTCACTGTCCTGCTTTACTCTCTGCTGCTGTAGCCTCACTTCAAGTATTGTGTGCAGTCTTGGATGCCACAGTGTAAGAAAGATAGTAAGGTATCAGACAGTGTCCAAAGGAGGCAACAAAGAAGGTGAAGGGCCCTTAGAGGAAGCCATATGAGGAGCTGCTGAGGTCACTTGATCTGTGAGAAGCATGGAGAAGAGGAAAATGAGGAGACACCTCATCTCAGTATGCAACTTCTTCACAAGGGGAAGTGGAGGGGCAGGCACTGATCTCTTCTCTCTGGCAACCAGTGACAGGACCCGAGGGAATGGCCTGAAGTTGGGTCAAGGGATATTTAGGTTAGATATTAGAAAAAGGTTCCTCACCCAGAGGTTGATTGGACGCTGGAACAGCTCCCCAGGGCAGTGGTCACAGCACTGAGCCTGAGAGAGTTCAAGCAGCATTTGGACAATGCTCTCAGGCACATGGTGTGATTCTCAGGGATGTCCTGTGCAGGGTTAGAGGTTGGACTTCAAGGATCCTTGTGGATCCCTTCCAACTTCAAATATTCTGTGATTCTGTGAAGAGCATGGGGAGGAATCAAGGCTATGATCCCAATTCCCTTATTTGACCCAGTATCCAATCTGACACATTGGACAACAGGCTCTGTAATCTCAGAGATCGCCTGGTGGGATTCCTGCAAGTACATCAACCAGCAACTTCTGAAAACCCTCGTGGGTCCATGCTGCTCCATCATCACAAGCACAAGGCACTGCATGGTAGGTGCCATCAGTTCTTCAAAGACTTGAACTCAGAGTTTGTACCTGAGAAAGGCTGCATGTACAGGTCTTGTCTCTGCAGACCTACTCGTGAACAGCTTTGTGCAAGACTTGTCTGGTTTCTTCATAGTGCTATTCTCAAAAGAGAATTCTCATTGTCTAGCATAGGAGAGAGGAAGAGAAATTAATATATTGGAGTGAAAATAGAACTGCAAACACACCTGAAAGAGGCTACAGTGTACAGAGTATTCAGGCTTTATGGGTTGATCAGAAGAATGTTATTTTTTATAACTCATAGTTAACTTTTAATTCTTTAACTTCATGTATCCATGTGATATATTTTAATCAAGAAAAGCTGACAGGCCAAGGACAAATGTGTTGCAGTTCCTGCTTTTAATGTATGGTCACATATGCCACACCACACTTCCTGCATGAATTTGGATGTCAGTAAGGAAAAAACCCAATGGTTTAGTGGTTAAATTTGCAGTTCCTATTGCTCTGCATCTGTGACACTTTTCATCCCTTCTGAAACAACTTTATCAATATCCTGGCCTGATAATTATGTGGCTCATTTAAAAAAGAATATAAATATGTAAGCATTCTTTATCATACCAATGAAACTACAAGACAGCATAACTTCTGCAAAGGAAGGGAGGATATGTAAAGGAAATCAGTCATGACATAGCTGGGGACTCTTTCTTTCTTTCGGCTATTCCTTGCTTTCAATTCAGGATGCAAGTGAGTCAAGTCAGAGGTTCTGTTCTGAGCTTTTCCACTGACGTGCTTGGTGAGCTTCGACTCCTGACATTTGGCTCTGAGTGTCAGCTACAAAGCATAATTTGAAGCCAGTGGGAGCAGCTGAGGAATAAACTACTACCCAATTCATAGAAGGGCATCAGAGTCTGACCCGCTCTGTTTAGCCATTCATTATTTCTCCAATATCTGTCAATGGATATTCTTAGATGATATATAGATACTTAGGAACATATGCCAGATCATGCTAAATAATTTCGATTTGTGCTGTCAAATTGCCCGACAATTTCATTCTGGATTCTTTTCAGGATCTGTATTCCTTTCCTCCTCACTGATGAAGTGGGGGTTATCTGTATAATGGATAACGGTGTCACTCAATATTTTCTCTCACAAATAGTCTTCATCGTCTACCAGCTTATTCCACATAGAGGTGTGTTAGAAAACTGGGTTGTCTGAAAAACATCATTGTCTGCCAGTGACATGTGCCACTGTCTCAAATCCCAGATGGGATGACTGAAGTGACTCTGTCACTGAACTTGAGCCATTATTCAAACCCAGAGTTCTTACCTGGGTTACTCTCAGGAAAACAAATATTGGAAATCCGTTTCCCACTAGTCACGACCACAGCATCCTTCACTTGCATAAAACTTCCCTTTTGCTGGGAATAAAACTGCATCTCCTGTGCCCAGCACCGTGCATTTGAGGCTTGTTCTAGCACCAAGTAAGTGGGTAGCAATGCTGCTGAGATTAATAGGCAAGGGAACAGGCACAGTATTCAGAAAGCCACATGCTAAACAGGTGAGAAGAATGAAGAGCTGGGGATCAGAAAATAAAGGTTGTGCCTCTGTTTCTGCAGGTGATTCTCTGTGTTACTTTGGGCAGGTCACTTTCCTCCCTCAATCTCTCTCTCTGTAAAGAGATAAGCTCAATTAGCCGGTAAATTTGAGAAGCAAAGGCAGTAAGAATTCAAGTAGGGCAGTATCAGCCACATCTCTGCCTGTGCTCATTGCTGGTCTTTTGATTATTTGAATTCTCCCTTTTGTACATGAACTAAGGTAAAGCTATTTGTTTACCCTTGAAAAATAGTGCTAGCTGTAGCTACTTGTATGAGGGTTAAGGCAGGGCAGGCAAAGGAAGGGAGAGAGAAGGTAAAAAGCTTTACTTATAATATAGTGAAGTAAAATATGCTACATGAAAATGACAATAGAAATGCACACTGTTTTAAGATGACAAGTCTGGGAACAATCTTTAATTTAAAGGGTCTTATCCACAGTTTTCATAAAGAAATGTTAATTAAAAGTGTGATGACATGTTTGGGATTTAAAGGAAATCATTCTGCAAAGGATTTATAGCAATCACAGCTCCAGAGCATTAGGATTACAGATCCTTGTGCTGTTCCTTTTCAGTGATCATGTGATTGGCCTGCTGTTAAATATAGCTCCCATTTAGCGAATTGAGACAGGCATGGGAAAGGTAGGGAGAGTTTCCCTTTAACCAGCAGGATTTCAGAGGTGTTGGAGATTATACAATTCATTAGTTTTTACATAAGATCAAAGGGAGAGAGGAAATCTTAATTTGGGCACCAACTGCTACTGTCTGAAAGTCTTGCAGATTAAATGAGAAAAGAACATGTGTGGTGCTAACTGCTTGTGTTAGAGCATGAGCCTATTGTTTTATATCTCACTAACTCATTGTTCTTTTCCCAAAGATAATTCTCACACTTAAGACCTTCAGAGATAGTTATGTCTATTGTGAATAGTTCAGCAACCAACTGGCTCAGAGGTTATTGCCTAAGCATCTTTCCCTTGGTCTAATCCCCTGCAAGGTTTTTTTCTGGGCAGTGTTATTAATCTAAAATGACTGCTAACTGACTCCTGTGTCAAACATTATTCATTATGTGCTTTAAATGCTTCCTGCAGAGGCCAAAATAAATTTTGCTTTTTTAAAAGCGGACCACAAGGAGTGCTATGCAGGATATTTCCTAAAAGATTAGACTCAAAATGGCAGTTTAGATGATGAGGGGAAAAAACTGCTCAAAACAAAGCTTTGCAATTTAACCAGGGACATAAAAAAATGGACAAACCTCAATTACCAAAACCCACTTTTCACACAGAATTATCTATAAGTTGTTCCTGTGAAAGAAAACATGCACCCTTGCAAGGCAGGAGAAATACTCTTATAAAGACATGGAATAAGTGACCTTATTAGAAAATGAAGACCAAATAAACAAAATTTTTAAAATCAGTAATTCTTTTGTGTCTTGGTTTTTTTCCAAGTGTCACTGGTGTTGGCATAAAGCACGAGGGGTTTTTATGTCAGAGGCACTGGCAAGTCTTGCATGTGTAATGACAGTATGGGAAGAGAGACAGACAGATAGATTTGAATAGCAATAAGGTGGGTTTTCTTCCAGTGTGAAAAGAGCATGGGATTCATGTGTACTGAGATGAAGTATAGCCTTGCTGCACAGTGCAAATATTTAATGCTGTTCTAACTATCCCTTGGTTATTGGAGTGTGACAGTTAATAGCCGTCAGCTGCCAAACCCAGTGAACAGTTCGGTTCCCTAAAAAGAAAATGAAAAGTTAAAAAATGAAGCCAAGTCAGACTAGAAACCCACAAATCATAAATGTGCTATAGCTTAGCAGGCAGATCATCTCCAAAGTTTAGAGCCATGTCGACCTGAGCTGCTTCTCAAATGAGAGAAGGATCGAGTGCATCTGTCTTCAGGTCCCAGCTTTGCCAGGTACTTGCAGGCAAGTTTTGGCTGTGCTTTCTGCTTCCCGAGGCCCTGGTACTCCCAGTGACATTTGTAAAGGAGATGGAGTAAGGGCTGGAATGAAGAAAAGCAAAACATTGCCATTTTTCTGGATCAAATATCTCAAGTCAGTGGTGCAGCATAAATGCATAGAAAAATGGTAGAGCTCCT